TCACACACACCCACACACTCTATCTCTCTCTCTCTCACTCACTCTCACACACACACACACACACACACACACACACACACACACACACACACACACACACACACACACACACACACACACACACACACAAACACACACACACACACACACTGCACAGGTAGTTAAAGTGCACTGCAAACACACACATCGTTACACATGTACATACGCTGACACACACACACACACACACACACAGGCTTGTGTGCCTGACCCTAACCTTGGTACACACACCTTCCTAATACCTCACAACTGTTTCCAATCTAAAGGTTCCTGCTTGTCTGGGCCCCGGCGGGGCCTGATTGCACGATACAAGATCCTAAGGAGAGAGGGCAAGGCTGCAGGGAGAGAGGGAGAGAGGGAGAGAGGGAGATGTGCCTCCACTTATTTCTCCCCACTCTCCCTTTCTCTCCTTCCTTTCATGCTGTACCTGTGCAGGAATCTGGTGTCTGTTAAAATGGTTGAAAAAAACCAGACCCTGTGTGAAGTTGATCCTTCAGATTCTGGAGGAAAACATTTGTCTTAAATACATCATAGGTCTGTCAAACACTGCAGAGTTTAGATTGCTATGATGATAATGTGCTGTTTAGTTAGTTTAGTCAATGAAGTGAAACAACTAGAGTGCTTAAAAATGCATTGCAACAACCTTCTACTATATTTGACTATGCTAGCTGTTTTAATCATGGCAATGATTTTAAGAGTCTATACACTGGATTTCTTTGTACAGGATTTATAGATATTTATTTCATTACCGTTTACAAACATAAAATAATTATTTGCATCTCATTTGTTGATCATTTTTGACATTTTCCAATTACATGGAGAAAATGAACACATCATTTGCAATAGCATTTTGAATTTTGCCAAATATATTTTTGAAGGACTTTTACTTGACTGGAAGATTTTCTTTGACAGCAACTTTTTGCAAGAGTTGCACCCAAAATGGCAGAATCATTTGCACAAACCAACACAGAACAAACATATTTGTTTTGATTTTATCCTTTATGTTATCTAAGTCACGTACCATTTATTAACTAAATCAGTTTTAATGTAACGAGAAGCAACTAAATATCAGCATTTTAAATTCTAAGAAAACCCGAAAAAAAAAAAAAAGAAAGAAATAATGAGTTTTAGGGATCAGTGATCTTTTACTTTATATTATAATATTCTTGTGTGACTAAAACATACTAACATTGAAACATCAGAATTAGAAACATCATTTGTAATATTATAAGACTGTAAATGTGGTTTTTTTTAAGAATCTGTTATACATCGGAAAAAACTTTTTGTATATTTTTGTTTTTACGAGGTATATTTTATATTTTTTCCCCTGGTTGCACAAAACTCCCAGATGTAAATATCCAAACCGATAAGTAATGAATGTAAACAGAGGCACCCTCATCTTGTTTTGATGTGTAGATATTTAGTTATTTTAACTACGTTTAAAATGAGTTTAAATTCTCTTGTGATCGTTACGATGATTTGTAAACATCTCAGTTAATGTCCAGTTTTAAAGGAGCTTTACAGATCAACCTTGCTTTAAGTTGTTTAGTCTGAAAATATCTGTGATCAATTTTAAAATTCTACGTGTAGGACAGATTTATACATTTAGGGAAATGTTTCATGTTTGCGTTAATTTGAACAGAATACTTAAAGAGATCTTGACCAGCACAGATTTTTTTTTTGTAATCCTGTCTGCTTCTTTTTAAAAGTGCATTTGCTGTATTCTTTGTTGAAAGCTACAAATAATATTCTGAAACAAGACAATAACGAACATTGAATAACCTACAAATTGTGCTCATGACATGGCGAAACAGAACTGAGTGCACAAAGTTGCATGTTTGTAGGATGTCTGTGTGTGTTCATGCAGTCTGTGTGAGTGTGTGTTTGCAGATTTTGTCCATACCTGGGGGGCTGCAGTGGAGCGTCTTGTTGCACTGGATTAAACTGTAAGACAGACAAGGGAGAGCAGTGGAAACAGTGGAGGGGAACAGGGTGAACTGAGAGGGTTTGAAGATCCAACTGTCTATACAGATGAAGTGAACCATCATGGATCACATAGATGTAGCAGGAATGTATAGGGAGTTTTGAGATGAAAAGGTTAAGATCAGACCAAGAGGGGAAGAATTCAGAGGTTCAGAGGTCAGGAAGTGGGTGCAAACACAGACACGGGCGGTGGGGTGGAGATGTGGACACGAGAGGGTTTAGAAGAGAAGTTCGATGGGATCCTAGTGGCTTGCGGACATGGCCCAGGCCCCCTCCATTCTCCAGACGGAGAAGGCGTAGCTCAGTCTTTCGTGGGCCAGGTAGTTGCAGCTGGCCAGCTTGGCGTCCATCTCGTCGCTCTGCAGCACCTGGTACAGGAAGTCGATGTAGCGCGAGGCCAGTTTCAGGATCTGGATCTTGCTCAGCTTGTCCGAAGGTAGTGTGGGGATGATTTTGCGTAGAGATGAGAAGGCGTCGTTCAGGGACTGAGTGCGTTGACGCTCCCGCACGTTTGCGATAACACGCTGAGTGTGGAGGTCCTCAAAGGGCTGATCGAGTCTGGGCCCCAGCGGCGTGGGGGCCAACGACACCACTGTCGTTGGGCTTTTCTTCACCTTCTTGGGGCCTGACGGCAGCAGGCTGGTGGGACTGCCGGTGCTGCTCTCCTCTGTCTGACCCATGCTGTCCTTCTTGGGGAAAGGCGTACGCTTTCGATTTCCTCCTTGGTGATTCTTCTTCGATCCTCTCTCCAATTCCTCCTCGCTGGCCCCCAGACCTCCTTCAGGGGAGTTAGTGCAGGACACCTCTTCTCTCATTGTACCGTCCACAAACAGCCTCTCAGCTTCCACTGCAAAGACAAGAAGCTGTGATGCTTCTCTCAAACCTGGACTTGGAAAGCGTGTGTAACAAAAGTCTTCTCTCTCGTTAGGGAAAGTTACGGCTTCTGAAGCTCCATCGGATTGGACGTCGCTCTGGCTGTCCTGTTTCCTGGTTACCTTGTTAAATATCTCACTTTCACATTCCCCTCTCAACCTGGCAGACAGAACAACAACAAACCATCTGACAGGCAGGTCCACCTCCGCCTCTTTTATACCCAAGCGCTAACTCGAGGCCTGCGGGCAGTTCTGTTTGGCTGAGAGGACTTCCAAAGGGCGTGGTCCGGCATTATCCAGGCAGAGAAGCAGGAAGTGTGTGTGTGCTGGGCGGGCGATAGAGGAAGGGGGTAAGTGGAGCTCTCAGCCAATAAGAAGCGCTGTGTCTAATGTTGCAGGGATGTCTGAGGCTTTATGGGTTCCAGATTTGGGGCTGGAGCGTCAGTCCACATGCTCTCATGTCGGCATTCTCATTCATCAAAAAAATAAATCTAAATGTTTTATTTCGGACAATCAGCAGTGTAAACTTTTGTATACAACATTTACATTGAGTATTTTTATGAACACAAACAACAGCTTTATTTTTTGTAACTCAAAGCAATAAATCATGTGTATTAATGTTGTGCTAAACATTTTTTAATTTTTCCTTTACGAAGCGTGTGTTTACACTGCTACGGTTTTTACCATGCTGATAACCAGACACTATAAAAACAAATCTGTTAAACCTGCTGGACGGAGTCATCGAAAATACTGCCGATTAAAAGGCTCAAGGAGGATTTGCAGGTTAAACAAAATGCTTTATGATGTAGACCTGTTGTTTATAAATGGTACAAATTATACATTTGACCATGACAAACTGTAAAGTCCTGCAGAGCAACAAAAAAGTTTTTTTCATGAATTTGTTTGGCCACAGCAGCTTTGGGTATATCTGAGAGAAAATGTGAAGTTGTGCAAGAACACATCCTGGAAATCATTTCACAAGATGTGCTTTTTTCCTGAAATATCATGTGTATGTAAATACTGATGTACACTGAGCAACTCGCTATAGACCCGTTCTCTAACACCAGAGGGCTTGGGTTAAAACTATGACGTCAGCTGCTGCCTGTCATCCACCTTGGGTTGGGAAAGCAGCACAGACAGGACCCTGAATAACCCCTGACCTCAGTGACCCTGTGACCTCGGTCTGCAGAGGTGAGGGAGCACCTAATTGTGCCATCCACGGCCCCGAGGCAAAGCCAACACATGTTCTACCTCCAAACCGCGAACCCATCTGGGTCTGCACCCACTTAAACACATTTGCTACGCGTTGCCAGTCATGACACAGCAGAGAGGTCTTCTTGGGAGGATGACGAGACATGTTTCTGGATCATGTTTGAGCAATCTGCGTGGGACAACCAGCAATTTTAAACAGAACTACTTTATCTAACTTTGAATCACGATCAGTTTCCCAACATTGTATCAGTTTATACCTTCATGCGTCACAACTCCAGTGACTCATGTGTGCATCACCGCAGGGAAATGTTGTGGGGAGCTTTCTGCACTCTACGCTGCGGAAACTTTGTACTTTTTGATGACAGCATACCTAATGGTAGCATTTACATGTCATCACCTCCAAACAAGAGTGGTTGCATCTTTGATGTTTCCAATACTGATTTAAATTCAGTCGCCGTCTAGACATGGCATTCAGAAACCTGTATTATTTACTAACAAAAGTTTCCTGGGTTGTAACTAAGCCTCATTTCATTCATGACACGCTGCTTGACAGCTCCTAGCCAACAATTTGGGTGTGATTGCCGCGGCATTCGAAGGACCGCGTGTGCGGGGAGCAGTTCAGAAGATTTTTGATGAGCCTCGTGATTGCACTGGTTTACATTTCAGTCAGAGAAGGACGTTTCAACGGAAAGTAGCTTGATCCCAGTTGGGTTCAATCAACTTGAAAAAAAAAAAAAACTCATCTGGCCATTAAAGCAAGGCCATGGACAGAGACAGTGAATTTTATGAGATTGTATTTACATAACAGGCCGAGTCATCTCCAGGATTAGGTGGTTTTAGAAATAAGTCTCATTGAGAGCTCCGGTGGAGACAGTGGAGGGACAGCAAAGTCACTGTTTTCCGGGCTAATCTCGGGAGCTGCCGCTTACCTTTTAGCGAAACCGTGGCTCCGTGCCACCATCATGGAAAAAATGAGCTAACAAAGCGAGTAGGCCTACAGGAATGTCGTGGCACGTCGAAGAACAGAAGGGGAAAGAAAGAGAGAGAATGGAAGAAGAATAAGAAAAGGGGAAAAGAAAAGGAGAAGAAAGGCAAAGAGAGAAGGGGGAAAAAAGTGAGGCTGTCCAAACAGAACCAGATGCAGGAGTGTGGAGGCTCGTTTGATCTCTGTCCTCATAGGCTGATTGATGTTGCACATTTCATTTCCTTGTCAGAGTCTTGACATAATGTTTCACTAAACACTCAGGCCCTGCTCTCGTCCTTTGTTTTATTTCCATGGGGGTCGTAATTAACCCTTTCTGGAGCTGAAAATAGATCATGCACATATCAATATATCTATATATATATGAGCTTACAGGCACACACACACACATGGGGGTTTGGATATCAAAGAAGAGGGATGTATTGTCTGTTTCTGTCTCTACAACATATGGTTTGCTCCTGACTGAAATACTGCACTGAGGGGCGGCCATGTTGAAACTTTTGAAGTTTTCCAAGGAAAAAAAATAAAAGAGGGAAAACAGTTTCTTTAAGTTCGTAATGCAGTCAATTCAATTACCGTCATACACCAAAAGGTCGTAGCGCTGCAGTGACGTGCTCAGCTGGTAGGAGCGCGGCAGTGTGACCAATCATAAATGATGTGTTTGGAAATCCATGCTGGCTCCACAAAAGGAACTAATCATTAAATTCCTCCTCACCTTCACCCCAGGAGTTTCTTCACCCTCATGGCTGCCGTTATTGATGTTTGCACACTGCACCACGCACCCTCCTCCACCCCACAGCCACCCGTCCATGGCTCCATCCCTCCCGAGGAGCCTGTAGTGGCACAAAGGCAGACATCTGGGACCCATTTCCCCCCTGGAGAAGCCCTTCCTGTGGGGTATCCACTTAGAGGGGTTCGGGAGGAGTGGGGTGGGGGTGGGGAGGGGTGAAGGTGCATGGTATGTGGGGGATGGTTGGTGAAGGGACATGGNGGGGGGGGGTGCGGTTGCCTTCTAATGAGGATGAGAGAGGTGTGGATGATAAGCAAATCTAATGCACAATGTGCAAGGGAGTATGTTATCTCCACCTGCCTCTTCCCATTGATGAACAGATGAGCTAGTTCAGGAAGTTGGGAAATAAGCTTATATTTTGCCAAGACTTTAATGAGAAGATTGATATCCCTCGCATGTCTGTGTGTTCAATATGGAGATAGCTTAGCATGAAGACTGTAAAATGGGGGAAACAGGTAGCCAACATCAGCATATCAGGGCCTCTTGAGATCAGTCACAAACTTTTGTATCTTGTTTTTAAATCCACAAAAGAAGTGTAAACATGACAGTAACAGGGGATTTTGTTACCTTAAGACGGAACCAGGCGAGCTGTTTTACCTTGTTTACATTATTTGTGCTAAATCTTTGCTGAGCGTGACATCCAACTTTGTATCTTAATCTCTGCAAGAGAACCAATAACTGCCTTTCCATAAATCATCCAACTATCCCATTAAATCCAAGATTTCAAATGATAAATCCAAATCATAAACAGATTATTTACAGAGATTCGTGGTAGGAAAAAAGGCACAGACATATTTTTGTAGAGATTTTAATTTATAGGATATTCAAATGTATATAACTAATAAGCCATCATGGACAGGACATCCTTAAAAGCCTTAAATCAGCCTCTCATTATGAATGAAATAACAATAAAAACAAAAGTTATAGTTACTTCACATGAGATATTCTGTATTGTTTTTTTCCAGCACTCCTCTGAGAACATATGGAAAATATATGTGTAGTATACATAGTATTTGAATTAAAATGATCGAAAATGTCCCAGTTGTACGAATATCAGGCCACTGCCAAGCAAATCTCATCTACATCCACACAGTGCGTATGAGCATATCTTTTTTATTATCTAGTAGACTCTTAATACATATGATTGATTAGATTATTCTTCTTCTATTTGTTGCTTGTTGCTAATCCAATAATGAACACTAGATCAAGTGTACAGTTCTGTATGTCTGGAAACCTCTCTCTGCAGAAGAAGTTAATGTGGCACAATTATACCTCAAGAAAATAAACAAAATTAAACTTGAAGTGCTTTGTCAAATGTTTATAGATTCATTTAACATGTGTGTTTTTCAAATATTAAAGTGCAATAAAAAAAAAGTTCTCCGTACTGCGTGCAAGCCTGTATTATTCTTGTTTAACTGTGGCTTATCTTCTCGCATTAGGTCGTAATTTATCATAATATTTAGTGCTCAAGCTTCCTTCAAATGTCCCTGCTTTCATGTGTAATTTAGCCAATATCCTGCTCTGGCTCTGATTACTGTGTTTAAGCGCCGGGGTTCGTCCATGGCACATTGCACACAGTCCCAGTGGATTTCACAGCTGAGCTGGGGATACACATGCAGCGCCGGTGCACGTGGAGCAGCAGGTTGGGCCGCATAAAACCTTGTGTGGCTTATCCTGGGACATCCAGGAAAGAAGCAAGTCACGATGGTTAGAGAAGACTTTTACTGTGTGTAGTACAGACACATTTCTTTAGCACTTGTTAACAGGTCATTGTGTCTGCTTTATAAATCTGAGTTTGTGAAAACCCCTGTTCTTTGGTAGTAATGCACTTATATTTGTAGATGAAAGCACCTTTCCAGAAAGCAAGTGGTCGTATGGTCCATTCAGTCTCAACCTAACAACGAAAAAACAAAAAACATTTCTACAAGGCATTACATACATATGTTTTAAATGGACCTTAACATTTTTCCGAAGTTTCTTCATGAAGTTTTTCATTGTTTCACAAAAGAACAAACGTTAAACAAACAAGTGGAAGATATCGCATGAATCATCTTTAAATATAAGGTGTGTGTGTGTGTGTGTGTGTGTGTGTGTGTGTGTGTGTGTGTGTGTGTGTGTGTGTGTGTGTGTGCAATGCGTAAGGTGGCCTTAATATTACATCACTTTATGTCCATATGTGCAAGCAGCCGGTCACATGACTTCCATGTGCATGTGATAAGGAGATACA